TTCCCCTCACAACCTCTTATATGTAATTTTGTATAGCAATGAGGGTCTCCCTTCATTTCCATGCAATTTCCCTTTTCTCTCCCTTTCCCTCCCAACTCATGTCTCTGTTTAATGTTAATCTTTTCTTTCTGCTCTTCCTCCCTGCTCTGTTCGCAATTCTGTAACTTAAAACGCTATGATTTTGTTATGAAATATGATTTTTCCTTCAACAATAAGTAACTAGTAAGTCATGGCTGGTATCTCTTGTTGTACTTAGTGTGTTTAGTTTGGTATTTCTGCATCAGATGATAGGGTGTGGTTATTACAGGGCCTCTACTTCTGTAACTGAGATACGAGTGATTAAAGCTTGGCTGACATGCTGCCACCAAGTGAACAAAACTCACTAGGGAGAGAGACCTGAGGATCTCAGTTAACATCAAGACCTTATCCCACAGTTGGCCAAAGACTTTAGCAAGGCCTCTGAATTAAATGGATTAAAAGGTAATGTCATTGTCCCTTCAGAATGCTTTGTAATTTCACCAGTCAACACCTACCTGCAGTGACTACAAATTAAAATTGAACTTTGCAGGGCTGGGGATACAGCTAAGTTGGTTGAGTGCTTGCCTCACATGCACAAGGCCCTAGGTTCAATCCCCAGCACCTCCCAAAAAAAAAATGAACTTGCAGAAAGGAATAGGCCGCGGCCTCCTTTGCTGGGGCAAGACCTTGGGAAAGCCATTGGCCTCTCCTCTATAGGAGCCAGCTCGCTGCTTCCATCCTAGAGGCAGGGCCAAGGAGCTCACGGTCCTTGAGTTCCCTGTGTGTCAAGCATGACGCTGCAGGCCTGCACAGGCCTCGGGGGATGTCTTGCTGCCCTAGAAGGTTGGGGTTACCTCCTTCTGGAAATGAGGAAACCGAGTTTCAGAAAGGAAAAATCACTTCCCAGATCAGTTTCCAGTTAATGATGGGCACATAACGTTCCCTGGTGGTATTTGCCAAGCTTTTCCAGGAAGCGTTTCTTCTCCTTGGACCGTGGGCCTCAGGATTATGTCCGATCTACTTCCCCACATCAGGAAACGTGGTCCAGCAACTAGTTCTCGTACACCTGACCTGAGTGGGTACACCAGATGCTAGGGCTCCCTAGGCCTGAGAGCATGAGAGGCCATCGTGACGTTTTGATGAAATGGGCTAGAGCCAGAAGTTCTCCTGGCTAAGAGAAACACATGTGTTGTAGCCTAGAACGGGACCTGCTGGGGCACACTGGCCGTTCTGAGCATGCAGCTTAGTCACATGTGGTCAGGAATAAGAGGCAGCAGCATTTGCAGTCATCTTCTGAGGCTTAGCCAGAAGAGTTTTTATGGACTTACTACAAAGGGAATTTTGAACCCAGGAGTGCTCTGCCACTGAGCTACAACACTAACACGTATTTATTTAGAGACTAGCGATTTAACTCAGGAACACCTTACTCCTGAGCTCCCCAGCCTTTCAGCTTTTATTTATTTATTTGTTTGTTTGTTTATTTGAGACAGGTCTTTTAAAGTTGCTGAGGCTGGCCTTGAACTTGACAATCCTCTTGCCTCAGCCTCCTGAGTTACTAGGATAAGAAGTGTGTGCTGCCACACCCAGCCAGGCTTTTGTTTTTTAGAAGACTAACTTTCACATTGCAGGAAAACCATCTGTATAATTTTTCAGAAGTTAATGTAACAATCATTTGATTAATATTTTTACATCCACAGCAACTTTACTACACCTACTAAATCTGTCAGCATTATTTGCTCAATTTATCCTTTCTTCTGATGAGCCAAACCAAGACCAGAGTAGAAATTACCTATCATTAAACATGGAGAAAAACAGATGCAGAAAATGTTAACAAGTACCCTTTGCTGATTTTTCCCATGTCAGACATGCAGAAAGGTTGGCAAGCAAGTAAGAGCAGTGGGGGGAGTAGAGGCATATTAGCTGTAGAAAGCAGTGCTCTAAAATCTGAAGCTTTTTGAGTGCCAACATGAGTTGAGCACCTACCAACTGTGAGACCTCAAGTTCAGTCTCAGCATATCCAGAAAAGAAAAAAAAAAAAAAAACAGGTACATTCAGACTGTGTGGATAATGAATTTCGGGGGTAGGGTTGGAGCTCAGCGGTCAGTTCAGGTCAGTTCATGCTTCGCTTGCAGTAAGGCCCTGGGTTCCATCCCCAGCACCCCCAAAAATAAGAATTTTGCATTTAGATCTTGGTTCCGTCCCAAAAATATCTTATTATATATGCATATATTTCTGATTTTGAAAAATTCAAAGTAATTCTGCATACCCCAGCATTCCAGGTAAGGAATATTCAACTTATAGTTGAAAATCATACTCTTTGCTAAAATTAGTTCAGCAGCTGGTAGAACTTAACAAGTAGTTCATTTGGTTAAGCATGTGTATGTGGATTATCTGGACAGTATATTCATCAGTCAAAAATAATTATAAGGTCCTGATTGCCAGGGAGTTCCTTGGCCTTCTGAAAATACTTTCTTTGGCCTGGAATAAATTTGACTTTCAACACTTACCTACAATCCAGTACGGAGTTCACTCATGCACTTGTATGAGTGAGCTTGTCTGAGGGCTAGCTCTGGGAACCTTTTGACACTGAATGATGGGGAAGGGGCGAATCTAGACCAACTATCACAGTGACTTCTGTTTGGAACCGTAGTTCCTTTGTTGGGAAGAAGTTCGACTGGTTTAAGGAGTTTGGAGCCCCCGGCCAGGCTTACCACCTCCAGCTTTCCTCTGAGGAGGCTCTTGGGAGCTGTGCACAAAGGTGAGGCTGGAGCTTTTAACTGTTGGGGTCCATTGCTGGCTTCCGGTGTTCTTACTTGCTATAAAGCAAGCAGAGGAAAAAAGAAAATCATGGCTGTCATCTGTTCGTCATTTTCATTTTGGAGTTGGACACAGTTATTAACCCTGCCCTTCCTCGTGCTGCCACCTGTCCCCACCTCCCTTGCCCACAGTGACTGAGCCTCCTTCCAAGGACAGAAAGACACTACCCTCAGGTTAACCAGTCACATTGGTCCCCGCCCCTTTAAAGATGTTAACCAATCCCAAACACAAGTGGTTGGAATTTATTAAAGTCTTTTATATTTTAGCCTCTTCATCTGTTTAAGGTTCATGTCTATATTAGATTCACCTGCGTAGGTTCCATCACCTGCACTAATGGGTAACTTGATGAACACGTAGGTAATGCTATGGTTCTGGCTCAGGGTGACAGATACGTTTCTCTCTGCGCAGGCTGGATCAGGTGCAACACCACGGTGAAGAAGAGTGGGATTGGTGGCATGACTATGCTCTTCACGGGGTACTTCATCCTCTGCTGTAGCTGGAGCTTCCAGCATCTGAGTAAGCCTTTCCGCAGTTTTAGCAAAATGACAAGTCACACCCCATTGTAGCGAGTGCCAGGGATTCTCCAAGTGGCTTTTTGTATCAAGGACACCTAGTGAATGAGCTATTGCCTGGGTGTTGGCAGTTTTTATTAGAGGTTTTGTTTATAATGGCATGTATGAGATTTGACCAGAATTCATATAATTGCTCTTGTCCACTATTTATTGTGGTCACTGGAGGTCTGGTGGTCATGTTTTTCTCCTTTAAGCTGTTTCCTGCTAAAGGAAAGGCACTTTCCTTGGTACTTACGAGCTCCTTTTTAGCACTGAAACGAAATAGCTTTCTGCCCCAGAAGAGAGAAAGGGACAAGTACACAACTTTCACTCCAGTTATGAGATTCAGCTGCACCAAGTCTTAACCAGAAGGAAAATACCAGAATTTCATTCCCCTTTTAAAGTATTACTCTATAAAAATAGGGGGTTTTGTTGTTGATGGTACAGGGGTGTTAGGGATTGAACCCAAGAGTGCTATACCACTGAGTTATATCGTAAGCCCTTTTTGTTTTTGAGATAGAGTTTTGCTAAGTTGCCTTGAACTTGTAATCCTTCTGCCTCAGCATCTCAAATGGTTGGAATTATAGGTGTGTGCCTCTGCAC